ATCTAAGGATTCCACAAAAGATAGTGATAAACATGCTAATTCAAAAATATATGTAAATGTATTTTGTGAGCAATTTTTAAGTTTATTTTTTCTTATTTAACCAGCATCAAGAGCAAAGATAAATCATCTCCTCTCACTTGACAATCAAATCCGTTTGTGTTTATCTAATGTACGACCCGGAATTATATTAAAGGTAAACAATACTGAGAAACGCTTTTCGCAATCTTGTTTTTACAAGATTTTCTCAACCTTGTAAAACAATATTTACAACACATACCCCTACAAGCGTAAATTGATTACCCAAATGAGATACAAAGACATTAGAAAGAATTTTTCAGTGTCAGAGTAGTTAACAAATGGAATGCATTAGGCAGTGATGTGGTGGAGGCTGACTCCATACACAGTTTCAAATGTAGATATGATAGAGCCCAGTAGGCTCAGGAACCTGTACACCAGTTGATTGACAGTTGAGAGGCGGGACCAAAGAGCCGAAGCTCAACCCCCGCAAGCACAACTAGGTAAGTAAGTACTGTAGCAATATACACTTTATCAACATACTGTTCCAATACACTGTATCAACACACAATATATCAATACACTGTACCTCACACACAATATATCAACACACTGTACCTCACACACAATATATCAACACGCTGTACCTCACACACAATATATCAACACACTGTACCTCACACACAATATATCAATACACTGTACCTCACACACAATATATCAATACACTGTACCTCACACACAATATATCAACACACTGTATCAACACACAATATATCAACACACTGTATCAACACACAATATATCAACACACTGTATCAACACACAATATATCAACACACAATATATCAACACACTGTACCTCACACACAATATATCAATACACTGTACCTCACACACAATATATCAACACACTGTACCTCACACACAATATATCAACACACTGTACCTCACACACAATATATCAACACACTGTATCAACACACAATATATCAATACACTGTACCTCACACACAATATATCAACACATTCCTTATTTCATTTCCAATAGAAAACGAAAATATTATTTTAAAATACAACATTCGCCATTAAGAGAGGGCGAAACATTCACCATTAAGAGAGGGCGAAACATTCACCATTAAGAGAGGGCGAAACATTCACCATTAAGAGAGGGCGAAACATTCGTCATTAAGAGAGGGCGAAATCATCAAATAATTTATAATCAAATGAATAACAAACGTAAATTTACTGAATAAAAATATCCATAATTACCATAATTAATAGCGTTCATGCAGACGAGACATTAAGAATTGTTTATTTTTTTGTAAATAATCTTTGTACAATTAAGTTATTAATTAAGCAAATATTGTCATTTAAATCATTTGTTTATTTTGACTCACTCTCTCGTTGATTTTTATTTTCAACGATCAAATGGAAATTAATTTAAGCGTGAAGATTTTATGTATGAAATTGTTTTCCCCATGTTCGTTATTTCTTGACTAAAGGAATCTTTATTTATTTATATATTTTTGCTACATACGGCAAATTGGAACGAGAATTTAGAATGGTTAGAACCTTTTCTAATTTCATAACAACAGAAATGTGTGATAACAATTTTATATTTAATTATGGATTCAGTATAGGGAATATACCCCATGAGGGTGACGACGTTTCGGTCCGTCCTGGACCGTTATTAAGTGATGGGTCCGTCCTGGACCATTATATAGTGACGGGTCCGTCTTGGACCCTTATCAAGTGATGGGTCCGTCCTGGACCGTTATCAAGTGATGGGTCCGTCCTGGACCGTTATCAAGTGATGGGTCCGTCCTGGACCATTATATAGTGACGGGTCCGTCCTGGACCCTTATCAAGTGATGGGTCCGTCCTGGACCATTATATAGTGACGGGTCCGTCCTGGACCATTATCAAGTGATGGGTCCGTCTTGGACCCCTTTTACGGAGTGGCAAATACAGAGGAACGGAATTTAAAATTCCATTTAATTACAGAACGTGTCTTTCACCTGACTTAACTGATGCAGGTCACATCTCCAGTCCTTTCTGGGGATCAAGACTGGCTTTTAGTCTTGAAAGTTAGTTTGTTTTAGTGATTTATCCTATACGTCTTGAAGTCCGGCCCTGAGGTGGTGGTGCCATATGTGGCACTGAGGCGGTGGTGTCATGTGGCCCTGAGGTGGTAGTGCCATATGTGGCACTGAGGTGGTGGTGCCATATGTGGCACTGAGGTGGTGGTGCCATATGTGGCAATGAGGTGGTGGTGCCATATGTGGCACTGAGGCGGTGGTGTCATGTGGCCCTGAGGTGGTAGTGCCATATGTGGCACTGAGGTGGTGGTGCCATATGTGGCACTGAGGTGGTGGTGCCATATGTGGCACTGAGGTGGTGGTGCCATATGTGGCACTGAGGCGGTGGTGTCATGTGGCCCTGAGGTGGTAGTGCCATATGTGGCACTGAGGTGGTGGTGCCATATGTGGCACTGAGGTGGTGGTGCCATATGTGGCACTCAGGTGGTGGACTGTACAAAAATCGTTATACAAGCGTGTCGTAGATATGAGGCTCGCGTTGTCCTCAATAGCGACTGATTTGATGAAAACGATCGGTGATTTTACACGGCGAATGCTGTCGGGTCATTGGGGAAATAGTCCAAGACTACCAACGATTTTTGTATAGTCTGTCATGGTCAAGTGGTTACCGTACCGGATATGCCAGGTCGTTAAATGCACCAGGCTATCTAAGGTTTGAATCCTTCATGATGAAGAGTTCTCTGGTTACATATAACTCGTGGTTTATGCACGTGTGACGTGTGTATATTATATATATATATATATATATATATATGCGAACAAGCATGAACGGTCTCCAGGCATATATGCAACTGAAAACTCACACCCCAGAAGTGACTCGAACACATACTGCCAGAAGCAATGCATCTGATGTACAGGATCCCTTAACCACTCGACCAACACGACCGGACAAAAGAGGATGGTAGCCGAGGCTAATTCCCCATCCCCCCGCCGGCACTCTGTTGGTAATCTTGGGCATAGTATTTTATCAAAATCTCACTTCTGGGGTGTGAGTTTTCAGTTTATATATATATATATATATATATATATATATATATATATATATATATATATATATATATATATATATATATATGTCGTACCTAGTAGCCAGAACGCACTTCTCAGCCTACTATGCAAGGCCCGATTTGCCTAATAAGCCAAGTTTTCATGAATTAATATATTTTCTCTAATTTTTTTCTTATGAAATGATAATGCTACCCATTTCATTATGTATGAGGTCAATTTTTTTTATTGGAGTTAAAATTAACGTAGATATATGACCGAACCTAACCAACCCTACCTAACCTAACCTAACCTATCTTTATAGGTTAGGTTAGGTTAGGTAGCCAAAAAAGTTAGGTTAGGTTAGGTTAGGTAGGTTAGGTAGTCGAAAAACAATTAATTCATGAAAACTTGGCTTATTAGGCAAATCGGGCATTGCATAGTAGGCTGAGAAGTGCGTTCTGGCTACTAGGTACGACATATATATATATATATATATATATATATATATATATATATATATATATATATATATATATATATATATATATATATATATATATATATATATGTGTGTGTGTGACCACGAGGTACAACCATGAGGTGTGACCACCAGCACAATAGCCATGTGGGGACCGTAATGTTAAAACAACAATGCATACAGAGCCCTTTCTTCTTTTCTTCCTCCAGTTTATCAAGCTTCGACCTTCAGAAGCCTGTGTTTAGACTTCCCCTCTGTGGCACGGTGCCACAGAGGGGAGGAGATAGAGAACCCTCCGTGGCACGGTGCCACAGAGGGGAGGAGATAGAGAACCCTCCGTGGCACGGTGCCACAGAGGGGAGGAGATAGAGAATCCTCCGTGGCACAGTGCCATAGAGGAGAGAGAGAGAGAGTGCCTGGCACCAGAGCCACCACTGCTGTGCCAACATTGTTTACACACAATACCTTATTTGCTGAGGTATTTTTGTTCTTGAAAAGACCGTGAGTGAGACAGCTTTGGATAGGCGAGTCACTGGGTCCCTGGGATAGGTGAGTCACTGAGTCCCTGGGATAGATGAGTCACTGAGTCCCTGGGATAGGTGAGTCACTGGGTCCCTGGGATAGGTGAGTCACTGAGTCCCTGGGATAGATGAGTCACTGAGAGTCCCAGGGACTGAGGGAGACCTTGGGATAGCCCGGACAGTGGGAGTCCCCTGGACTGACTGGACAAGTGGGGTTCCTGGGATAGTCGGGATATGAGAAATTGGGATGCTCAATCTGCGAGAAACTTTGTGTTTGGCCTTGTTAAGCAGCAGGAAGTGAAGAGGGGGAGGTGTTTCCTGAGCAACGGTCACCAACGCATCCCAACGGGTATCGGTCACCAACGCATCCCAACGGGTATCGGTTACCAACGCATCCCAACGGGTATCGGTCATCAACGCATCCCAACGGGTATCGGTCATCAACGCATCCCAACGGGTATCGGTCACCAACGCATCCCAACGGGTATCGGTCACCAACGCATCCCAACGGGTATCGGTCACCAACGGATACCAACGAGCAGTATAACCAACACCCATAGGGTCACCTACTCTTTATATAAAGCAAGGCAAAGAAACCCCAACAAGAGCCCCGCTCTTGTGCCCGATAAGTCTACTACGGGCTCACCATAGCCCGTGCTACTTGCAACTTTTCTTCCCAGTAGCTGAATCTTAAACAACAACAACAAAACCCCAACAAGGCTGAAGGAGCAATAGCCCCCGTCCACCGGAGCACAGCAACGGTAACTACAACGATCTATAATACAATAACCAATCACTGTATCAATTCCTGGTAGCTTGATCTACTTAGAGTCAACCTCTGGGAAGATGGAGGGACGAGAGGAGTCAGGTAAATAGGAAGGCAACCAGCCCAATTACCTAGAGGGAGGAAATAGGGGTGGAACTAACGAGGAAGGGTCCAGGAGGGGAGTGGAAGAGAGGGGAGAGAGAGAGCCTTGGAAGGGGCTGGAAAAGGGGCAGAAGGATAATGAGGCAAAAATTGTCTTGCCGCTGTGATTGAGAAGGGTGGAGAGAGGGTGAGAGGAAGTAAATATTGCCAGCTTAGATGCTCTGCCCCCTTCCATCACTGTTTTTACCACCATCTTCACAGCATCTATAACCATCATCACTGCTTCTACCACCATCTTCACAGCATCTATAACCATCATCACTGCTTCTACCACCACTATCACAGCATCTATAACCATCATCACTGCTTCTACCACCATCTTCACAGCATCTATAACCATCATCACTGCTTCTACCACCACTATCACAGCATCTATAACCATCATCACTGCTTCTACCACCATCTTCACAGCATCTATAACCATCATCACTGCTTCTACCACCACCATCACAGCATCTACAACCATCATCACTGCTTCTACCACCACTATCACAGCATCTATAACCATCATCACTGCTTCTACCACCATCATCACAGCATCTACAACTATCATCACTGCTTCTACCACCACTATCACAGCATCTATAACCATCATCACTGCTTCTACCACCATCATCTCAGCATCTACAACCACCATCACAGCATCAACAACCATCATCACCTCATCAACAACCACCATCACCTCATTAACAACCACCATCACCTCATTAACGACCACCATCATCTCATCAACAACCACCATCACAGCATCAACAACCACCATCACCTCATCTACAACCACCATCACAGCATCAACAACCACCATCACCTCATTAACAACCACCATCACAGCATCAACAACCACCATCACCTCATCAACAACCACCATCACCTCATCTACAACCACCATCACCTCATCTACAACCACCATCACAGCATCAACAACCACCATCACCTCATCAACATCCATCATCACAGCATCAACAACCACCATCACCTCATCTACAACCACCATCACAGCATCAACAACCACCATCACAGCATCAACAACCACCATCACCTCATCAACATCCATCATCACAGCATCAACAACCACCATCACAGCATCAACAACCACCATCACAGCATCAACAACCACCATCACCTCATAAACATCCATCATCACAGCATCAACAACCACCATCACAGCATCAACATCCATCATCACAGCATCAACAACCACCATCACCTCATCAACATCCACCATCACAGCATCAACAACCACCATCACCTCATCAACATCCATCATCACAGCATCAACAACCACCATCACAGCATCAACATCCACCATCACCTCATCAACAACCACCATCACAGCATCAACAACCACCATCACAGCATCAACATCCATCATCACAGCATCAACAACCACCATTACAGCATCAACATCCATCATCACAGCATCAACAACCACCATCACAGCATCAACAACCACCATCACAGCATCAACATCCATCATCACAGCATCAACAACCACCATCACCTCATCAACATCCATCATCACAGCATCAACAACCACCATCACAGCATCAACAACCATCATCACAGCATCAACAACCACCATCACAGCATCAACAACCACCATCACAGCATCAACAACCACCATCACCACTTTACCACCATCATGCCTGGAGAGGGTTTTAAGATTCCTTCTACTCCCTGAGTTATTACAAGTAGTTATCCCTACTTATGATAACTTGGTCCAACAGGCTGTTGCTTGGAGCGGCCGGTGTAACACCCGTGACCTCCCCCCCCCCCCCTTAAGAGTTCACACCCAGGGAAGCCTTCTCCAAGAGGTCAGCCCAGATGACCTCCAGTTTATCTTGTTTATTGATTAAAAATTCCTGGGTTAGTCTTAGTCAGCATAGTTTCACGTATGTAATATTTCATGCAAGGAAATTAGACTCCAGATTCTTATGTGTAAACATCCCTGGATCTCCCCCTTTTTGGCTAGGTCAGAGGTCAGTCACATGTAATTAATAACTCCTCTCTTGAAGAGTGTATGGTGAATGTCAAACAAGCTTTTTGAAATATTTCTTGAGTGTTTGTACACTCTTGGTGGGTAGCAACAGCAGATCTCCCCCTCCCCCTGTGGGGGTTGTATATATAGGTCCTGTAGGGACTTAAAAGAGGAGAGTGCGGTACACCGGGATCGAGAGCGGGGCTGTGAAGAACATCTCAGCCAGGGAGAGACAGATAGCTTAAGGTAATGTGTGTGACCTCTGAGTTTTTGTTCCATGTCCAAATTTCTTAACTTTTTGCCAGTGTTAGAATAGGATTTAAAAGTGGTGATTGACATAATTTTGGTCTCAATAAACTCGTTAAATTTCCCGTCTGTGTCAATTGTTGAATCCTCTTAGCCTTTTCGGATATAGTGGCTGACAACCGTTTTCATAATTAATGACAGTCATAGAAAGTACTCTCCTAGTCAAGCAATGTTTCTTGCCTCGTTGCTTGATATAGTCTCGATGGTCAAAGGCAGATGGTGGCAGCCTATTTAATCCTTGTGTTAGCATTTCCTTATTGGCAGTGTATCTTTTGGTTCCGGTGTAACCATCATATGTCAGCTCACATTACCGTGTTTCATAACAGTGTTATCAAGTGCAACCGATGAGGAAGTGTTACTCAGGATAAGTAGTGTTTAGTTTAGTAACCATTTTGGTGTTCCATTATGGTGGTACAATAGAGTGGTGTTACACCGGCAGGTCCACATATCCACTACAACCTAGTTAGTCCCGTACTTCTTGCAAGAACTTATATAAGTGCATCGTGAGTAAGTCCACCTTTGTTCTAGCAATATTTATAATACTTGCTGGGAGGGTGTTGAACAGCTGTGGACCTCTGATGTTCAGTGTTCTCTGATTGTGCCTATGGCACCTCTACTCCTCATTGGTTCTATTCTGCATTTCCTTCCTTATCTTTCGCTCCAGTATGTTGTTACACACAGAGATCACACTAACGTTCATAATGTGGATTTGTTCATCAAATGAACAAATCCACAAGGGCCGTGACGAGGATTCGAACCTGCGTCCGGGAGCATCTCAGACACTGCCTTAATCGACGAGCTACGACAGGGTTAAAAGATCCCGTAGCCTCTCTGAGGCACAAACCAGGATTTTACACAACTCCCCCCTGCACCCGAGCTATGTCAATAGCTCGGGTGCAGGGGGGAGATGTGTAAAATCCTGGTTTGTGCCTCGGAGAGGCTACGGGATCCAGTAAGTTCAGTAGAACTTCGGTTTCAACTCTTTTAACCCTGTCGTAGCTCAGTCGATTAAGGCAGTGTCTGGGATGCTCCCGGACGCAGGTTCGAATCCTCGTCACGGCCCTTGTGGATTTGTTCAGTATGTTTTATTCTACTGTGCACATTTGGGACCTGGCCCTCCAGTATCTTCCATGTGTATATTAATTATATGATACCTTTCTCGTCTCCTTACCAAAGTATACATTTTGAGAGCTTTGGGACGGTTCCAATAATGTAGATGTTTATCGTGTCTATGCGCGGCGTGTATGTTCTCTGTATTACCTCTAATTCAGAGATCTCTCCCGCTCTGAAGGGAAAGTGAGTACCGAGCAGCTCTCAAGACGGGACAGCATCAGTGATTTTATTAAGTAGTATTAGCATTGCTGTGGGGTCTTAGGATGTGAACGTTGTCATAATCCATACAATAATTTTCCTGGCCGCCGCTATATTTGCTCGGTCATGTTCACTAAATGTCAGGTCGTCAGACATCACCGCATTTACAACCACCAACACGGCTTTACCACAACCATCACCACATCTACAACCACCATTACAGCTTCCACCACCATCACCACCAACGATACTTCCACTACCACCGCTTCTACCACTTTGCCTCAACATAATTTTCACTGATACATCACGCCATTGTCATTTCATATATTTATAAACAAGTCGTCAAAGTAAAAAAAAAAAACAGTAACTGAGAGAAGAAAAACGCGACCCACAACAGTTTGGTGGACCCGTGCAGCAGCTGGTCGTTGCTTGTGTTTGATGCGTTGCTTTGTGAGTAAACAAACTTTCGGGCGAATCAATTACGTTGCTGTCTTGGCCTGCTGGCAAGTCCCACGCTCCTGCAAGTCCAAAGCTTCTCCAAGTCCTACGCTCCTCCAAGATTGTCCTCTCCAATTTGCCCATTCTTGAGAACTGTTTTCCCAATGTGTTTCCTCGGTTGAGCATTCTTGGGTTTAATTTGTTGCACATTCTTGGAGCTAAATTTCCGAAAATGACAGCTGAAGTTATATATATTTGTCAAACGACTTGACATCAGCTAACTTTTAGTTAGAAATTACTAACTTTAAGATAAAAGTAATTACAGAAGTTTTTGAGGTTAAAATAGATGGTGGAAGTTGTCATAGGAACATAAGAATTAGGGAAGACTGCAGGAGGACTATTGGCCCATACGAGGCAGCTCGTATTGGCCCATACGAGGCAGCTCGTATTGGCCCATACGAGGCAGCTCTTACAGGCCCATACGAGGCAGCTCCTATTGGCCCATACGAGGCAGCTCCTATTGGCCCATACGAGGCAGCTCTTACTGGCCCATACGAGGCAGCTCCTATTGGCCCATACGAGGCAGCTCTTACTGGCCCATACGAGGCAGCTCTTACTGGCCCATACGAGGCAGCTCCTATTGGCCCATACGAGGCAGCTCCTATTGGCCCATACGAGGCAGCTCCTATTGGCCCATACGAGGCAGCTCCTATTGTCCCATACGAGGCAGCTCCTATTGTCCCATACGAGGCAGCTCTTATTGTCCCATACGAGGCAGCTCCTATTAACATAAGAACAAAGGCAACTGCAGAAGGCCTATTGGCCCATACGAGGCAGCTCCTATTCTATAACCACCCAATCCCACTCATATACTTGTCCAACCTGCGCTTGAAACAATCGAGGAACACCACCTCCACCAGGTTACGCGGCAATTGGTTCCACAAATCAACAACCCTGTTACTGAACCAGTATTTACCCAAGTCTTTCCTAAATCTAAACTTATCCAATTTATACCCATTGTTTCGTGTTCTGTCTTGTGTTGATATTTTTAATACCCTATTAATATCCCCTTTGTTATGTCCATTCATCCACTTGTAAACCTCTATCATGTCACCCCTAACTCTTCGCCTTTCCAGTGAATGCAACTTAAGCTTTGTTAATAAGAACATAAGAACAAAGGTAACTGCAGAAGGCCTATTGGCCCATACGAGGCAGCTCCTATTCTATAACCACCCAATCCCACTCATATACTTGTCCAACCCGTGCTTGAAACAATCGAGGGACCCCACCTCCACAATGTTACGCGGCAATTGGTTCCACAAATCAACAACCCTGTTACTGAACCAGTATTTACCCAAGTCTTTCCTAAATCTAAACTTATCCAATTTATATCCATTGTTTCGTGTTCTGTCCTGTGTTGATACTTTTAATACCCTATTAATATCCCCCCGGTTATGTCCATTCATCCACTTGTAAACCTCTATCATGTCACCCCTAACTCTTCGCCTTTCCAGTGAATGCAACTTAAGCTTTGTTAATCTTTCTTCATATGAAAGATTTCTAATTTGGGGAATTAACTTAGTCATCCTACGCTGGACACGTTCAAGTGAATTTATATCCATTCTATAATATGGCGACCAAAACTGAACTGCATAATCTAAATGGGGCCTAACTAGAGCAAGATATAGCTTGAGAACCAGAACCGATTTTCGTATCATCGGCAAATTTGCAAATGTTGCTACTCAAACCTGAATCTAAATCATTTATATATATTATAAACAACAGAGGTCCCAGGACAGAGCCTTGAGGCACTCCACTTACAACATTTTCCCACTCTGACTTGATTCCATTTATACTAACTCTCTGTTTCCTTTGGTATAGCCATGCCCTAATCCAGCTTAATATAGCACCCCCAATACCATGAGACTCTATTTTTTTAATCAGTCTTTCATGTGGCACTGTATCAAAAGCTTTGCTAAAGTCAAGGTATACAACATCGCAATCCTTACCACTATCAACTGCCTCAACAATGCTAGAATAAAAAGATAACAAATTTGTTAAACATGAACGGCCATTTATAAAACCATGTTGCGACTCAATTATTAATTTATGTTTTTCAAGATGAAGACGAATTTTATTTGCTATTATAGATTCGAGTAACTTTCCCACAATAGACGTTAGGCTAATTGGTCGATAGTTAGACGCAAGTGATCTATCTCCTTTCTTAAAAACTGGTATCACATTAGCAACTTTCCAAAACTCTGGCACTCTGCCTGACTCTATTGATTTATTAAATATGGTTGACAGTGGGTCACAAAGCTCCTCTTTGCATTCTTTAAGCACCCTAGCAAACACTTCATCCGGCCCTGGGGATTTGTTTGGTTTGAGTTTTACTATTTGTTTAAGAACATCCTCCCTGGTAACTGCTAAACTCGTCAACCTGTCCTCGTCCCCACCCACATAGACTTGTTCGGCTGAAGGCATATTGTTAAGTTCCTCTTTAGTAA